TTTGGCCCTTAGTCTGCCCTGGATTTCTGCGGTCAGCCAGGGAAGCCTCCTGGCCCCTTTCCCTCTTTTACCTCGCATGGGGATCGTCTTGCTTTGTGCCCGAAGGATCGTTTCCTTAAGGCACAGCCACCCTTCTTGGGCTCCCATCTCTTCAAAACTCCTACTCTGCAGTGCGTCCTTGACTAATCGCCTAAGTTCATTTAAATCAGCTTTCCTAAAGTCTAGCACTTTCACCCTACTAGTTACCTTACCCACTCGACGTCTTATGGTGAATTCTATTATTAGGTGATCACTGTCCCCCAGATGGCTACCGATATGAAGGTCCCCTACTATGTCATCCCTCGTTGCCAATACCAGATCCAGTATGGCATTCCCCCTAGTGGGAACGTGTACCTCCTGTGTCAGGTGGAGGTCCTGTTCACAGGTTAGAAACCTGCGTGAACGGTGGGACTTTGCTGTCTGTGACTCCCAGCAGATGTCCGGGTAGTTTAGGTCCCCCATGACTACTGCCTCTTTAGCTTTTATGGTCTCTTACATAGATCCAGGTTTATAATTAAACTGGATTCTGCAATTTTAGACCGGTTTCTACGCATCGAACTTCTGTATAGTTACAGGTTAAACTGATGGTCAGTCACTAAGACCGGGTCTGTAAGTGTAAGATTGGCACCAGGGCAAGCTAAGTTTAAATTGGATGACTAGTTTGACCCAATTTAACCTCCCCAAATATCTGTACTTAGCCTAGAGGGGCACTTAACTAGTGCTAAACTGCTTGAAGCTTCTTCTGCTTGCGTTTTTAATGAGAAGCAAGAAAGTCTTACGGTAACATCTTTAATTGGACCAAGTATGTAGTTGGAATGAAGTTAGACAAGCACTGACCTTGGTGAGTGTTAGTTGATCCTGTGACAGCAGCCTTTCTCTGCAGCTGTGAGAAGGACCAGAACAGACAGTGGGTGAGGGTACCTTATTTTCTTGCATACAGTACAACTGTGAATAAAATGTGCACCTTGTTTTTGATAGGCCGACTGAAAAAAATGACTCTTTCTTGCTTCTGTAGCAGTAGCCTCTGTAGGTGGGGGGGAGGAAGGAAAGAAAGTGCCCACAGCCAGCAGCTAGACAGCCCCACATATACCACTGCAGCGTTACACTTTCCCCAGCAGAGGCAGAAACTATTATTACTGTATTTTCTTGCTTACAAAGTGCACACCAGTTTCCAGTAGTGGCGGGAGGGGGGGTGGGGGGGGGGGGGGGGGGGAGGTATGTGTGTATGTGAGAAATTGTGGTATTTTCATGACCAGTTTCCTGGCTGTAAGGAACTGAAAAGAAAGTGTGTACCTTTAATCTTAAACCACTATTTAACCTTGTCTTTTTTTTTCTAAAAACTGTACTCATTTAAAGCCAGAATGCATTGTTCCTTGGATCTAGTAATTATGTCATTTGGTAAACAAAACCAAGTCTGAGCAACTGGTAGGATCTTAGATGAACCGCTGATGTCTGGAAATGTTAACAATGTCTTTTGTACTTATTTTTCAGGAATCAGTTCCATCTTCATGTGTAAACTTTGTAACTTATTTTCACCGAATCAGTCAGAGCTATTGTCTCATGTCTCTGAGAAGCATGCAGAAGAAGGGATTAATGTGGACGACATCGTTATTCCTCTCAGACCGCTTACAGAACCCACAAATACAAGCAAAAGTGGAGAAGGTACTTGTATCAATTGACAGCAGTGTCATTTGCAATTACTCATTTAATTTTTTTAAATGTCTGCTGTAATGACTTTGGACTTCATATAGAATCATTTGCCTGGCTTCTGTAGTGACCAGTTTTCTTTACTTAAAACTGAGTTATGTTTAGTGCAAAATGGATAGGAAAAAGGACATGGATAAGACAAAACTCAGCATGTGGCAGCGGATGATTACATTGGTTCATTGATTTTTTTAAATGTCAAGGATCCTCCTTAAAGCTGCAGTCTGAAGCTTTGCGACTAACATTGTCTAGTGCTAAACAGTGGAAACAATTAAATTTTCCTAGACAAGTAGCCAGCACATCAAGGGAAAAAAAGCCTACAGTCTTTGGCAAGGTGGCTGATGGGATGTTTCCTTGAGATGTCTGTCAAACTCTGAGAGTTGCATTTCAGATGATATCTCTCACTGTATGCAGAGGGGGAAATGGCATGATTCATAATTTATAATTGTGCTTTGACACTGGTGCTATTCAATAAAGCCATCCACTAGTCAAAGGTTGAATTAGTTATACAGAATAAATATCATCAGCTAAAAGTGGAAATGAATATAACTTCTGTACTGCCAAGTTTAATTACAACCCCTTTTGATATTGTGGGGGGAAGGGTGTGAAAATAAATTGGACATCATAATTGCACATTCATTTTGAACCTGACTGGACAACTGATTTCTGTCATCTGTAAACCCTTTATTTTACAGAATTCCCAAGGTTTTGGGCATACCTAGTTATGGGATAGCTGAATTCTACCTATTTAATTAATACATTGATTTAAATAATACTTTTCATATCTACAGCAGGAACATAGTATATCTTAATTTATTTAGCAGTCTAGTAATTAGCCTTTTGCTAATTTAATCAATAGAAAAAGCTATTTCCAAAATGGTTGGAATCCATAAAGGAATGCGGCAGACAAGGTTCTTTGGGTGAATCTGATATCTTTTATTTTATTTTGGGTGAATCTGATATCTTTTATTTTATTAAACCAAATTAAATAGTTAGAAAATAACCTACACCCCTATAAAGGAATGCACACATTCATTTCACACTCTCAGACTGAGGGCAAGAAAAACTTGTGCCAGATTTGCATTTTATATAATGACTGGCATGAGCAGTACCTCGCAGAGATATCATAAAATCTCAGAACAACAGTGTCTCTTTATAATTTGACTAAAACTACAGAAAAAGGGGATGTCAGGCTTGCACAGCTCTTCCTTTTCAGGCTCGTGTTCCAAGTAACCCATCATGAATTTCAGACTTTATTTTTGAGCTATGAAACTTGCTTTCATTTTGATATGCTTTTTCATTTGTTAGTTGTAAGGACAGTTCTGGAAAGTGGTTTTTTTCAAACATTTGTTTAATGGAATTTGCTGTCAGTGTGTGTTTTGCAAGGCGCTAACCAAATGGACAGCTCTTAACAAAACAGATGAATACTTATTTAAGATGAGGAATTGGGAATCGCCAGCTTTACTTAGGAAGTGTCATTAGGCTTTATGTGTATGGTTCTGAGGGAAGGTGACAGCTATACTAAAGGCTTTTTTTATCCTAAAGCTAGATGAATAATTTGTTTTTGTTAGTTCCGATTTACTGCACCTAGACCATAGGTTGGTAACATATGGCTAGTGGGCTTGATCTGGTTCACAAAGAGGTAAAAGTTTGGGTATTCATGATGCACATTCTTTTCCCACATTGGAAGGATGTACCAGCTACCAGCATTTTTACAAGTTTGTTAGTGGTAGGTCTTCTGGCAAAAGCTCAGGGCCTCTTTCATTGTCTCATTGGAAAGACACCAAACCTAGCAGCACATTGCACTTCTGACACTCCACAAAGATGTCTTTTGAATCCCTGGGACTGTTACCTGCATCCCTTTCGTAGACAAATGTTCCCATGTTCTCTTGGAGCAGTTTGGAGACGGGAAGAGGAGCTGCTGTAATGCTTTAACTGCTCTGTATACAGGAACCTAGAACACTGCAAATGTAGCAAAACCACTCCAACTTTAACCCTGCTTCATATGGGGTCAAAGTTGGGGCTCTTGAGTCTACTAGAGTAGAGGTGGGCACTTATTTGGACTGGAGGGCCACTTAGGGAGCTTCAGTGAGCTGTTGCAGGCTGGGTCAGCACCTTCCTCCCCACAATAAGTTTATTAAAACTCCCTAAGTGGCCCTCTGGCCCAAATAATTGCCTACCCGTGGGTTAGGGGAACCTAACCTTTGTTTCCCCCTTCTCCCTGCGCCCTCTCCCCTGCCCTGAGTCCCTGACATGTGGCCAGGCCAGGCTGGGTCAGTGTTACTATGTTCCTGTGCACCGCCTCAGGCCACATGGGCACAGCTTAGGCAGTTCCTGCCTGACCTGGCTGCATGCCAGGGACCTGGGGAGGTGGTTCAGGGAGAAGGGGGGAAACACAGCACAACCCACAGCTCTTGGCCCCCTTCTCCCTGCACCCTCTCCCCTGCCCTGAGTCCATGGCATGCCGCCGGGTCAGGCAGGAGCCTTCCAGCTGTGTCCATGTGGCCCAAGGGCACAGGCACAGGGCACAGGCCCAAGCACACAAGGACATAGCACAGCACTGGCCCTGCCCAGCCACATGCCTGGGACTCGGGGAGGGGGTTCATGGAGAAGTGTGCCACGCTGTGTTCCCACACTGCTTTGGGCCACGTTGTGCAATGGCATGGATCCTGCCCAACTTGGCTGCATGCTGGGGACTTGGGGTCAGGCAGAAGCCGCTCCAGCTGCACTCATGGCGCAGCCCTAAGCAACATGCAGGAACACAGCATGACACTGTATTAGTGGTGCCTGTGCCACTACCAGGTTCCGGTCTGGCAGAGCCAGGATAATCTGCGCCTCCTGCCTCTCCTTCACCTGTGTCCCCATCGGTGGAGAGAGCCTTACCTCTGCTTCGACTTACTGCGGGCCGGCTGTCTGGTCTATGAATGGCTGTAGGTCCAGAACTGTGTGCAGACAGAAGCCTGGCCAGGAGCTCAGTGCCCCCTGCCTAGGAGCATACATGGGGGGCTGAAGAGCAGGACAGGGTGAGCTGAGCCAGGGAAGGGAGTGGCTGCTGCTGCTGTAGCAGGGTATGGCATGGGGAATGGAGAAGGTTGAGAGATGCCGAAAGCCAGGGCAGCTGCGGGCTGGATACCATTCTCCTTCAGAGGAGCAGCTATGGACCAGATAGAATCACTTGGCGGCCCAGATCTGGCCCGTGGGCTGTATTTCGCCCATCCCCACATTAGAGCCTAACAGCTGCCGTGAACTGAGCAGCAGCATCTCCCTTTGGAAGTGCTCCAAGTAGCAGCTTGTCCAAGCCGTCAGGAATTTTTTTAACTGAGACTGCATTAGCATGCTTGTTGGTAAAAGCAGAATTCACTGTTATTGCCCATATTTGTGATCTATATGGATGTATGGCAGAGATATAGGGAGAGGTGAGGAGTTATTGGTTATCTTTTAAATGCACTGTCTTTTCATCCATTCATTAGACTGTCTCTTGCAGAACAACCTCTCTCACCCCACCCTCCTCACACACAGCCCCCAAATAAGGCTTTATCTTTTTAGTGAACCTGATGGATTCATATTATACCAAATACTGATGCTAAAATATGTATCTGTGAAACAAATAAGCCAGGTAGGCTAGCAAGCAGAGGTTGGTAAAACCTGTAAAGTCCAGATGATAGGATGCTGAGAACTACGATCAGATCTTTAAAGCATTTAGGTACTACAGAATTATAGTGATTGTTTCATTTTTTTTACAGTAAATGTGAAAATAAAAGAAGCAAAGAGATGAAATACACCCAAGGAATTGTACACAGAAAAATTCAAAATTATGTATGGAAACATTCAAAATTATGCACAATTAATTACTTTTTTTTTTTTTTATAAATTAAACTAAATATAACACTATTTCAACCTTCTTTAGAAATATATGCAGGTACGTGTGTGTGTGGGGTGTGTGAGAGGAGGGAGTTTGTGAAAGTGTTGGGGGGTGTGAAGGAGTGTTGGGGGGAGTTTGTGGGCGGTTCTGGGAGTATAGAGTTC